CCGGGCACGGAGCTTAGGCCGTGAAGAACACGTCTGCGGATCTTAGCGTACCCCTGAGCTCGCTGGGATTCTCCACGCATTAATCTATTCTAAACGAAACATGAGTCGAATGGGATTCGAGGAGACTCAACGAGGCCATCCTCATTGGTGGAGAACTAGAATGAGAGTCCGGTGCGAGATGACCGGTGGCATGCTGGCGGTCTCAGTAGCCGGCATTGTAAGACAAGCTCGGCAATATATGGAGGATATAGTGTCCAAAAGGATCCCGACCATTTAAGACGTGTTTCCGATTGGCTGGGTTCGGGATTTGAGACTGCCGGAGAGGGCTCTTAAGGCTTACGCAAAAACCTGGTTTGCAAAGGCCTGAGCCCACAACAGCCCATGGACATAGTAGTGGTTATCGGGTATGCGGCAATTATAGTGCACCTGCATGTCTCTCTGTTCGATCAGTTAGAGGCCTCAGCCCTATGGAAAGACCCACTGCAATAAGGCTACTGCATTCAAATTTTGCCTCAGAAGTGGGTCCCCACGGGAGGGTATGTCGGCTGTGGGAAAGCTTCTTTTGTTGAGGAAAAGAGGTAGCGAATTCTCATTTAATTAAGATTCTTAGAGGTTGTATGGAGAAGCGGCAATCTTTGATACAAAAATTGCGCGATTCAACTATCCGGGAGATATCAGTGTATCTCTCTGAAGGCCAATAAGCTGAAATGAGACACATACGCGACGTCCAGCCCTATCGGCTAGGTATGAAAGTTCGTTCTCAACGAGGACCTTGGGGTCACTTCCGACTTAGCACTATAGAGGTGAATTCAAAGGTCGCGTCCCAAACATTTATAAGAATGTAGTTGAGCCCTGGCAAGCATTATAATATTCCATGGACAATTCTAACCATGAAATACTTCAATATCCACATTATCTGCGCTTCAGTGGCCTTCGGCCTCTTGGGCTCAGCCAAGGGTTTGGATGAAAGTATTATCGCAACGGTTGTTGACCTGCCCTCTTTCATCAAGGAATACAAGCTTCATGCAAGTTACCTTAATGCTGCAGCAAGAGCAAGCAGGTTATCCAATGTCACTTCCATGATGCACCTTGGCAGCTTGCCTGGGGGCCTTTTAGCTTTTTTCTCAACTCACTGGATTGGCCCACTATGGACCATGCGGCATTTATGCCTGCTTTGGGTCATCGGCGTAGTTGTTTTCATTACATCGGCTGGCAATATGGGTCAACTCATTGCTGGTCGGTTTATCATGGGTATGGGTGTCGGCCAGGCTGGTGTTGTTGGACCAATTTACCTAGCCGAAGTGGCACCAACGGCTTCTCGAGGTCTATTGGTCGGTCTCTATGCGTCATCGGAATATGTAGGTGTTTTAATCGGGGTATGTCAGTGTCTGAAATCAACTGAAGAATAATTGTTCGCTAATTCCATATTTTGATGAACATAGTACTTTTCCGGTTGGGGAGCCTCGCTTCATATATCCGGCGATAGCAACACGCAATGGATCCTACCAGAAAGCATCCATATCATGGTGGCCGGGGTGTTACTACTTTTCTCAATCGGCTGCGTTGAGAGTCCTAGATATTTGGTCTACAGTGGTCACGTATCAAGGGCTACAATAACTCTTGCTAAGCTGCGGGGTTTCAGCCCAGAGGATCCCCGTGTTATTGAAGAGGTACAAAGTATTAAGCGTGAGGTTTCCTCAAAGGAAACCACGGGCAAGCCCAAATGGTCCTTTGTAGGGCAATGGAAAGCACTTTTTGCAAGAGCCAATTTCCATCGATGGATGTTTCTTTTGTCTGCGCAACTTCTCAGTCAATGGTCCGGAACAAATGCTATCACAAGTGGGTTCATTATTCCTAGCCCCTTACACCTCTAAGCATAAGGCTGACATCAGTGGCATAGCTTACGCACCTAAATTCTTCGCGCTGTTGAATGTAGCCGGGAATTCCGAAAACTTGTTCAAAACAGCTATTTTCGGAGTAGTAAAACTGGTCTCTGCGCTTATTAGCGCATTCTTCTTTGTTGATCGCTTTGGAAGAAAACGCACCCTCTTAGGAGGAATAGTACTTCAGCTCCTCGCTTTGCTCTATATTGCAATCTTCATGACAGCTTGGGATGCAGCTGGCAAGTCAGACTCCAGTGATGCGCTTAGAGCAGCTGCCGGTTCCGTGGCTGCTCTATACGTTACAGGAGTCGGCTATGCTTTCGGATGGAATTGCATCCAATATCTGATTAATGCTGAGATTCTTCCTTCAGAAGTTCGTACACTGGGGACAAGTCTTCTCATGTGTGTTCATTATGCCAATAAGTTCGCACTGGTGAAAGTAAGCTTACTACATTTCGCTATGATTGAACTGTTGTTGACGAGGCTAGCCGATAACAAGGCCCTGCCAAGTATGATGCTTGATGATGCTTTGCAGCCCAAGGGGACATTTTGGTTCTTCTTTGCTGTTGCATCAATAGGTCTTGTATGGGGCATTGTCTGGCTGCCAGAAACTTCACAGAAAAGCTTGGAGGAAACAAGCATTGCATTTGAGAAGCAGTCGACAAAGAATCCGTGACGAGTTCAAAATATACTATTTGCATAGAAGCGTCCGGAGTGACATTTGTACGAGCCTGGCTTGTACGTTGTATCGATCACCTGTCCAGCATTATTCTACCTTACCGTCATTTTGTGCTTTTGTTGAATTCACGAATTATATTGGTTTTCAGTCTTTACTTGATGTAGTTTAGCCAGAAACCTTCTGTCAAGGCACGCGTGCTACAGCGAAAGCAAGCAAGCAAACAAACAAAATGAAGCAAAAGAATGCTGCAAAAGAGGCTGGTTTTATCAAGTATTTAGAGTATGTAGTAGAACAAGAATAAAATAATACTCTATCTAGCAGACTGGGTATATCAGAAGGATGACCTCATGCGCCGGGTACCCGGTGGCAACGACTCCTCAGCTCTCCTTCCACTGCCTGACTACTGCATTCCGAACACTGGCTCTGAGGAGCTAGCAACTGTCCTAGTTATGACTGTGCCTAACTCGTCAGGTCCCTTTGCTGCTGAACTTGCCTCCATTATGCGCTCACTCCTTGAGAATCCTCGGGAAGTCACTAGTGGGTATCCACCTACAGGCCCATGTTGATTCAAAGGGATCCGGCGCAGCCACATAAGCAATCCAGACAAAGCTGCCGGAGAACTACATCACCATTTGTGTTAGTCTAATGCAATCACCGTCGCGCGGGACCTGGCACATATCATCTGCCAACCTGCCGAAAAAACCCATCATCAACCCAGTTACCTGACCTGGAGATGCCCGCGCGATACACCCGCTTCATTGATGTGAATGCTGAATTACAACCGCTCGCATCCATGCTGAAACCGTGCGGCAAGCATATCCTGGATTCGCTTGATGCACAGGGACTACGGGTTTTGGATCCTAGGGTTATCCCGATTGATCCCAGGGGGAATACTCAGAGCGCAGGCAGAAAATCTAGCGAATTCCAGACCCACGAAATTTCTTTATCGCGAGTCTCTAAGATGAATTGCAAGATATATAGATGACTATGGTACAGTGCATAGTGAAACGAGGTTAATCCGTCGGTGTCCACCAACAATATATCATGGCCTTCATTCATGAGCTTGCGAACCACTTCAAAGTTCCCTGCTTTGCTGGCAAGGCGGAGACACGTTGGAAGAGATCCATTGAGTTGTGAACTATCAGCCCCCTTTTCGATAAGTTTGTGTAAGATAGATATTTTCTAAGCGGCATGTTTATATCAGCATCTTTTCGCTTCCTGGGCTGTAGGAATATTACTGGGATCTCCATAAATGCACAGGCCATCATCACCAACCAGGAGGATCCTCTGTCCGGGATCATGTCCAACATAAGCAAGCCACCAAGTCCAATTATCAAAACCAGATTTTAACTGCACCCTAGGTTTCATTCATTCAACTCTAAACTTCGCAATTTAGTTCTGGCCCACTCCGTCATGTATCTTTCAAACATTTGCATACATTATCCAAAATCCTACGCTTCCTTGAAGGGACAGGTTCTTCAGCTTGGTTGATGCTCTCCGCCGGTCAAACGTACGTCCGATAGTAGGACTGGGCGGCTCTCTTTCCATCTCGTTTTCCACAGCGATCCATTCGTTTTGCGAGCTCCTCGGCTGTATGAGAGCAGTGTATGCTGTATTCATACTCTCCGTTACGGACAAGGAACACCTATCATTGACATTTTCTGCAGGTAAGTTCAAATTACTTCTCCACCGCGCTAACGCTCAGATCACGGTCTGGAACGCTCACAAGGCGTTGCTGGGGCGCAAGGATGACCAGATGACACCTCGCCAAGCCCGAAATAAGGAGAACCACTTGGATGGTAGTAGACACGGGATTCACCAAAAACAAAGAACGAATAAGAACAAAAAAAGGGGGAAAGAAAAGACTATACAGAAAAAGAGAAATGTTGGAGGCCGATTTGTGAGGTCCACGGAGATCAAGGGTGTAGTATCCCATTCTACAGACTATTTTCGCGGGGAAAAGAGTGTAACTAAAACTTTGGCTACCCAGCACGACCTGCCATTGGCCTGCGCTCGTATGACAGTAGGAAACTCTAAGACTCCAGCTTCACGTTTGAGGAGGGTGAGCCCTCCACCAACTGCCTGCTTTAGTGCCACTAATGGCAAGTTGCAGGAAATCCGCAGCAGCACCCTCATGAGATTCACACACTCCTACCACGCCTCGAGTTTTGGCTCACAATCTTACAGCTTCCTCCCATCACTTGATATCTCTGGGATTGGCTCCTTTCAGGAAGGTGGCCTTCAGGATAATTTAGCCACCGATGTTGCTATCGTGTAGTTCAGCAAATATGGCCAGGTAGTAGACCCTTGAGTCTACATTCAAGCAAGCCTTCTTAGATCCCAAGTAGGAAGGAGGCTTCCCTTCCCCCTCCTTTCCATCTCTCAAAGGTCTTCACAGGAAATTGCAGAACATTAGGAGAAGATGTGTCATAGAGCTTCTAGATTATTCCCAACATCCTACCTAAGCCCCCCTCTAACCATTGTGTCATCGACAGAGCAAATAGGCACGTATTGTCTACATCTCCGGCTCTCGCGTCAACCTTATAAGTCCACATACCGGTCCTCAAAAACATTGTAAGAATCTGAAAATCTAGTAAAATATCACTGCGCCCGCTACTGGGCACGTAATCAACCTGAACCCCACGGGCGTCACGCATAGTGAGGTGGGCTAGATCATTGAAGGACGTAGTCCTCAATGGCCCTGTAGTGGAGTGTTCATCGTCATGACTACCATCGGAGTAGACAGCAGAGGCGCTCACTTTAAGGGTCGCATTGACCAGGCCCTCGTCAGGAAGTGCCAGCTCCTTCTTTTTGGATTCAGGCAGATAACCGCGTAGGTAGATGGAAGAAGACACGATCGCTTCATCAGGATGTTAACATCGAAATATTATTATTAAGATTAAGCTGCACTTCAAGCAAAGGGACGATCTTACGCGATAATGGGTGTCGGGGCAATCTCAAGGAATTCAATCTTGAATATCTGGTCATCCTTAGGCACGGTGTCGTAGATGGCATTGTTGTGGCCGGGGACCATGTTGTCTTGTTGGGCCATAATATCCTCGCTGACAAGCAATTCTTGCTGTGTGGGGTTGGTCTTAGCAAGAGCAGCGAGTGTAGCGGTACAAAAAGACAAGATTTGCCGGATAATTGATTTCATCGCGTGGCAGTGGTTGTGGATTTCAAGACAGCTTAGGGTGAGTTTAGCAATGAGGGACGAGAGGTGTTAGCTTTATGTCACTTTAATGCCTCCCTCTGCCCTAGGTAAACTAGGGCCCAACCACAGCGCTCCGGACTCCGGATCGCTCAGATCTCTAACGTCGGTCGGATAAAGATTATATTAGGTATACCTAATCTTGGATCCAGTTCCAGGTTCTACAGAAGTTAATTTCTCTAGACTTTCTTTGTCTGGGTGCCTCCGGAAAGAGTAGGTGCCCGCAACTGTATTTAAACCTGTAGTCTCTCAATGTTAAGAAGAGAGGTTTTCATCTCTTCCTGTACAAGTAGGCCTTCCTGGTGATGTTCTACCACTACGCCACAGCAGGCTCTAAGGGGTCGGTCACCTCGTCCCTTGACGCTTCCTCATAAGGTTCTGTACACCTTAACGGAAGCGAGCCGATTCGATCCGAGTCATGCGTGTCGGCGTAGCGGTAGTGTTGGGACTTGTTTTCTAAGCCACGGGATCTTAGAGTTCCTCTTAGATTGTAGGGGAGGATAGAGTTCATTCAGTTCTCATTTCCCTGAAGTAGCTCTATGGGTTGGGATGGCTGTCAACTGTCAGGGTCACCGCATTAAAATCCCCTTCAGGGTGTTCCTCCGTCGAACGCGACATTGATTGTAACTACTGTAACTAACTATGTACTAACTATGTACCAACAGCGTAAACGGTCCCTGGCAGAGATTACATCTGGACCGGCAAAATGGCACATGAGAGATGTGAAATATCCCATTCCAAACAATCGTAGCGCTAGGGTCGCCGGTTTAGAGGCACCCTCCCGCCTATTGAGCGCACACAAGCCATGCAATGGGAGGTTAGTATTTGGATTGGTGACCACCAAGTCTCACTTGTGCATTCGAAGGGTTCTGGCGAGTGGGGTATGCTGTGTTGTGCTGTCTACCCGGCGAAACCTGTACACGGACCCCTAGACAGGAACTACCCCTCCCCTCGTCTGCGGTTTCAACAGCCCCAACATAACCTGCTTCGACCTCCAAGCTGCCCACTCATCCACGGATCTCGTCTCCTCCTCTTCTCCTTCAGTCAGCACCGGTATCTTCCCTCCACGGATCCTCCGCATGGATGCTAACTTCGCCGGCCTGACCAAATACGCCACACTCCGTCTCGGCACGAACGCCTGTTGTCCAGGTGCAGCTAGAACCCTATGCAAGGAACTCCGTAGCAGCTGACCAGTCCACTCTACCAGAGCATCACCAATATTGACCAGCGCACAGCCCGGCACGGGTCGAACAAAGCGCCAATTCTCCATCTTATTCTCGAGGCCCGCAGGGAGGATCTGCAGACCTCCAATAACTTGGAATAGCAGCGTCGTTGTCCCAATATCTGTGTGTCCGCCTAACGAGATGCGATCTTGATTTGCTTCACCGGGTGCGTGGGGGGGACTACAAAGCAAGCGGACAGAGGTCTCGGACTCCTGATCTAGTGGACTGAGTTTGCTCAGTGTACCGCGTTCGAGACCGAGATGGTCATCCAGCGTTTTAAGAATCACGTCTAGAGTTGATGAAGCGTGGCGGATGAAACTTTGGATCTGGGGGCGCTGTGCCTCGATCGGAGGTGCGTTGGTACAGGGAGCACGATTACCCAGGATATCGTCCTGATTAATGTTGTAGAGGTGCATGTGGTCGAGCTTGCCGTCGTCGGTTTTGAGCGCTCCCATGCGCTTATAGCCTGTAAGGTCTTTGGGCGCGTTGTAAGCGTATTGGTCGAGTGTTGCCTGGTCGAGGGAGAAGAGCTCGGTGTCGAGATCGAACATGGTTTCTGCATCGTGGAGGAGGGTCCTGCCTTCTGCGGAGTCGTCTAAGTCGATTAGGAAGAATCCCCATTCGCGGCAGGCGGCAAATAATCTCTCTCCTTCGGTTGGGTTGCCGGATTGTAGGTCCGAAAATGAGAGAACGGGAAGGTCGATGGTCGGCGTATCAGCGGGGAAGGGGGGAGCTTGGGCGAAGTAGCGAGTGGTGGGCATTGCTGGAGTGGATATGTCTCTGTGATTTTTATATAAAGAAGTCGGCTTTTTGTTGGGATTCGTTGGGGATAGTGGGATACATATAATATATTCACGGCTTCAAGGAGATGAGGACGAAGCTGCGGGGTGATACTTCTCGGTCGTTGCGAAGAGACAAATATGAGGGAAGAGACTGGCCTACTTATTCTGTAAGCAATGGAATGACAGCCTTGTGTACATGATTAGTGCTTATTGTCAGCGTCGATCGTAGCGTACTAGTGCTTACGCATTCGTCTCTCCCGCGTGCGCACTGGTCAGAGTTAGATCGACACACGCGATGACAAGTACTCGGCAAAATGCTATGACAATGAATCATAAGACCAGCAGAGATCCATTAATACTAAGGTGGGGAGACTTCCGTAGTAGAATAAATTCCTTACACCCAGTCGTACTTTTACTCTATCAGCACCTGCCCCTAGAACTTTGATTACACGCATCTGAAATAATAAAACGATTTCATCATATAAAACCAACTACTTCCGCCAAGCTGTCCCTAGTCTGAATTCTGCTTGAGCCTCACTGCATGCTTTGCGCATATTACACCCAAACAACAACATTGGCACTCATCCAATGAGAACGAAGATCTAAAAAGCATGACTGTTCGTTGGCTTTCATTTACTTCAGTCTAATCTCAATATCACTGTTCATCTATTTCCCATTCCGAATATTATCAGTTTAATACCCCTCTCTACTTCACATGTATTAATAACGATTTCTGCGTCCACATCTTCCTTCATATTCATGCAGTATCTACATTACAATCATGATATGTTTGTAGAAAAGAGAAGGTTCAGTACGAGACAAAGCACATAGTCGAATGTAGTTTTCGCAACTAGCATAATGCTCTAGGCAGTAATATCACGAGCAGAGACAACCGTCGCGAAAGCATCCTCCAGCTCACTCAACGCCACATCCTTCAAAGTTGCAGCCTCCACTCCAAGAATATTCCGATCGCCCACCGCATCACGCACAACTACAACCTCATAACCAAGTTCATTGCCAGCCCTGGCAGTCGTAGAGACACACACGTGCGCCATATAGCCGACCAGCACGATCTTCTTTCCAACAGCTTCGAGACTGCCCAAGTACTCGTGCAATTCCGTCTGGGCAAAAGAACTAGGGAAGTTCTTGCTGATGATCTTCTCCCCAGGCACAGGGGTGAGTTCGTCGAACTCAATTTCTAGGTGCGTGTTCGGAGTGAAGACGGGAGCGCCTGGTGGGGTCTGGTGAACAACATGGACGATGTTTCTGCCGTTGTGAGTACCGTTGGTGCGATACTTAGTCAGAAGGTCTGAAATTACTTTGCGGCTTTCGGAGACGCCCTCGATCTGGAGGTGGCCGCAAGCGTATTCATTTTGGGCATCAATGATGATCAGGGTTGAGTCTTGGGTTGAAGCGGTTGAAGGAGGAGCACCAAGAAGTTGGCGGAGAGATTTTGCTGGGGCGCATGAAGACATTGTGTTAAATAGTAACCAGGGTTGTGGAGAGAAAGTATTGGCTGACGAGTAATGCTAGTCTTGTGTAGAGTGGGATATCGTATCTGATGTGTGAGACGGAAAGAGGATCTGAACAGACAGCGCAAACCTACTTATAGACAAAGACTCCTATTATATTACTCAGTATTCCGCAATTCGAGAGGCGGGGTAACTAGATGAGAATGATGTCTTATTTGGAGCCATGACCGACTCAAATAGCCCACGAGCTGACTGTGGCGAATAAGGTCATGCTATTCTTCGTCTCTACTTCTTGGCGGAATATACTTCCGTTTTAGGTTAGACCAAATGCACTGGGTCAGCGGATTTTGTTTTGTAAAATTGCTCCTGCAGATGCATCCTCGATATTTTCTGTCGATGCTGTCGGTAGGAAAAATGGATGGAAATTATGGGATGGAATCAATTTTGAGAGCCTGATGATCCACCTTGTTGAATTCTCAAAGCTCGAGATTCTCTTAAATAGTGCTACTTGCTGCAATAATCTCTCGTAGTATTCCGTTGATAGATCCGAGTAACGTTTGTATGGCTACTTAATAGCCTATGATCCTGTTTGTCTATATGATGATCAGAAATACACACATAACGATAAGAAATTTCTCCAAAATTTCAGTTACCAATTTTTGATAAATTGAAAATGTGTTGTATACTATCTACCAGCCACTGTCCTTCATAACATTTGTGCCGAATGTTAAACACAACTTAGGTAATAGCTGACACATCCTTAATGCCCAAATGTTGGATGGAGTGTTCTGGCGTTGCATTCGCCTCCATCAAGCATCATCGACCTGCAAACTGTCCCCACTATTAGTTTCGGCCTAGCCTGCATTCACGAAGAAGCTGAGCCGACTAGTTGCACCCTATTGATTTGGATGGCTTAGTTAGGATCAATGTTTATTGCTGGTGTACATTGCCATGAGGGTCAAGCAAAGGTCCGTTTGCCAAAACTGCAGATCGAGGAAACTTGGTGTACGTGGGTCATCATTCTACTTCGAAGCAAGAGGCTCATTCCATGCACAGTGCGACGGAAAGTCACCTGAGTGTAGTCAGTGCCTACTAACAGGCCGCCAATGTCCGGGGTACCCAGTGAACTGGTCCTTCGTACAGAGCCAATCAAAACCTGCCCAGAGTAGAAGATCACCATCGAACATATCAAATCGGGATCACAGCCCCCGAGACACTGCAGAACATGAATCCTCCTTATCGAACATTGCTTTTCAATCGGTGGAAGAAACTCATTTGCTTCCAACTTTAGGTGCAGGCTACAACTTGCGTCGTGCCGAGCAGGTTGACTTCATCATAAGGAGCTATGTGCCTAATGAAGAGTTAGAGCTCCCTGGCATTATCTCTAATGAGCCACGGCCTCGCATATGTGGATCATGGGTCGAAGTTCTTCCCAGTCTAAGCGAAAACTCTGACTCCAATATCATTATGGCTGCCTCAAAAGCTTTATCCACCTCACTTATGTCCCGGGGATTTCCAGAAAGAGTCTCAAGTGTCGACACCACGCACAACTACCTTAACGCACTCAAATTGATGCAAAAAGAGCTCAGCACGGCGAATATGTCGTCAGATCGAGAGCTACTGGCATCAATAATGTGCCTCAGCTTGGCAGAGGTCGGTCCTGCTTCGTGGTATCTGCTTTTAGGGGGGGCGCTTTGCTTACGCAATTTAGGTTATGTTTCCTGGGCCAAGTGAAGGTTTAAAGATGCATATAGATGCCGTGGCGCAAATCCTTCAGGCAAATGGACCCCAACGTTATCAGACCGGCGTTGCCCACAGGTTATTTATCGGCTTCCGCCCGTTGTTGGTGAGTCGTACATTCCAAAGTCCGGAGTGTTTCTAATGCCTTGTAGATGATAAACGCCATACAATGCCGAACTTCATCTTTTCTGGGGTCGGATAACTGGAAGACAACACCATTTGCAATACTTAGCCCATCCCCAATGCAAAGCCTTCTCGGCCAGGCCGCTGCGCTTCCAACTATTTTGCATACATTAGACAGCTTATCTGGTCCAGATGCTTCAGATAAAAACCAATACGAGTGTGAACGCATATTGAACTGCTTTAATGACTTGTTGAACGGGTTAAACAATTGGGAGACATCTGAATCTATCAATGTGACGTCTCCTCTTTACTGGTACCGGGATCAGGATCCAGAAGAAATCCCGTGTATTTGGTTTCCTAGTATCACTATGGCCAACGCAATCACCTATATCTGGGCGTTTCGTATTATATGTCTCTGCGAGATGGAGCGTCTTGCGTCGTCTCTCCCACAGCCGAGCATTGAATACCTGAGGATCTTGAAGGAACAACACATTGAAAGTGTCCAGAAAAGTTCAGAGACACTCATGAGACGGATATGCGAAAGCATGGAGTATTTTCTCCAGGAGGAAATGAAACTCTTCGGTCCTGCTTCTACAATCCTGCCTCTTCAGGTGGCCTACGCGGTAGCCACAATGAATGGTAATCAACACAACGGGCAATTACCCATCCTGAAGAGAATTGTCGAGCGGCTAGTTCTCAAAGGACTTCAATCTTTTCCAATGTTGATATTTGAAAGGAATTCTTTCCTTCACAGATGGGATAGATTATCAAACAGGCAATTGGCATAACTGATGGGTGCGTGTTCATATAGATAATATAGTAACATGAGATTGCAGTATCTGTGAGTTACATTCACAGACTGGAAGTGGATAACCAAGGGAGAATGTTGCAGGTGAATGGATAAAAGAACAAAGAAGTCTTCGATCTCGACTGATAATTCACTGGAAGCCTGTGGCAATACAATTCCTTACCGCGTGGATGTAAATAACTCACACCAGCCATGCATACCCTCCTACATCCTCAGTCTATCTTTATAAAAGTGGGCAGTTATCACCACGAGGAAATCAAATAGCTTTTAAGCAATATCACCTTAGACAACCAAAGAAGGCAACTTCAAGACACACAGACTCCCTAAACCTCAAACTATCAAACAACCAAACAACCGAATTAAAACCCCACCAAACACCCCAAAATGGACATCATACACCACCAAAACCACCTCTTCATAACCACCGCCCTATCCTACCTCACTACACCCATCCCATCCTACTCCCTCCGCCGTATCCGAGCCGAATTTCTCGCCGCAACCAAAAACGGCCCAACATCCCCACAGTGCGATTTCATCTCATTCCGGCCAGTCAGCCCCGACCACCTCTTCGAAATCATCGGCACCATAGTCGGCCCAGTCGGCAGCCTTTACGAAGGAGGCATTTTCCATATCCACATCCGCATCCCACCATTGTATCCTGATCTACCGCCGGTATGCATGTTCATGACGAAGATCTGGCATCCGAACATTGGTCCATACGGGGAAGTCTGTTTGAATATTTTGCAAGATGAGTGGAGCCAGGCACTTTCTGTGAGGACTGTTCTGCTGTCGCTTTCTGCTATGTTGGGGGATCCGGGGATGGGGGTGGAAGGTGGTAATGTTGTGTATGGCTTTGCGAATGAGGACGCGGGGAGCATGTTTTTGGATAATCGGGCGATGTTTGAGATGGCTGCGAGGGATTGGACGATGATGTATGCCTCGGGGGCGGACACTTCAGAGTGATTGTTTGCAGGCCTGTGGTGTGATTATGGCTGGGGAGGCGTTTCAACGTATTGGCCAACACTTTTGTACACTAGCATTCCCTAATGCAGCATATCTTTGGCAGAAAAGTCTTTCCCAGGCTCAAATTTTTGACTAACTTGCTTCCCTTACAACAAGACACACACAGCTTTGGCTCTTTGAGGAGAAACTGTAAGCATTGTCAAGGCCAATCAATTATCGTTTCAGCTAGCTCATCAGTGACTATTTCTAATTTTTATGACTGCCCGAGGCATGGATAGGGAACCCCCCTATGCGGGTACAACTTGGTAAGTATCTTCCAATTGAGTGTCATAACTCCATTACAGAAAGCTGATATAAGTGCAGGAAAGCAACTAGCATGATCCGCAGTAATTTTCCGCAATTCAGCCTATGTTCCATGACCAGTCATGGAGAACACCATCATGCCTGAGCAGCGACTTTCTGTATATCAGCCGTTTCCAACCCAACCCCATCCCTCTCATAACCATCCTGGGACCCCAATATCAACTGTCTAGCCTCCTGCTGATTCAACCCGTACCAAAGCATAACCCAACCTCCATGCTGAAACCTTCCCGTTGCGCGAGCCGAAAACCACTCAAGTCTGTCATCATCATCACGAACATTCCAGACCAGCTGGGGAAAGTCTTTCGTGATGCGAACAAACATATCATCAGCAACAGCACCCGCACCCATAATCCCGCTCGGGAACGTAATCAGATGCGGTGCGCCACCAGAGGCAAATGCGACGACGGCCAACGGACTCAAAGATGACGGATCATTGAAATACATCTTGAGCGGCCGATTCCTCCGCATCTCATTCACACAAAACCTCACCTCATCGTCCCCAGCTCCCTGCCGTGCCAAAGCATGTACCAACCTCTCCTCATCCCTGAATTCCGCAGAAGTAGTACTATATATCCTCGTTCCGCGCTCAATCAAAGTCCCTGGACCAGAGGCCGCAAAGACCTCCCGCTGCACATCCACGGGATGAACAATCGACACACTAGACGTACCCGGTGACTCACGCAGAAGTTTCTCCACAGCACGAATCTTCAACCTCGTCCCATACTTCACCCACTCTTGAGCCATGAGGTCCTCAAACTCCTCGCTCAGATTGATCCTCTCAATCCTCTTCCCGGTCACCCCATGCACTAAGCCTCCCTTCTCAGCAAGATAAACCACCTTCTGCGGCTTCAACGTCCTCGCCAGCTCACTAGCCGCAAGGTCTGCATTCACATTAAGCACTTGCCCATCCTTCGTCTCAGCCATAGACGTAAGAATTGGCAGGCAAGACGCCTTCATTGCCGAAACAATCGGCGCTGTCTCGACCTTCGTTATCCGTCCGACAAGCCCATATCTCTCATGATCGAGATGCTCGGCCTGGAACACACCCGCTGTGATCGGCCGCGCCGCAACCCCGATTTCCTCGAGCGCTTGAACCAATTTATGGTTCTCGTCGAGGAAGAGTCTCCGGGCAAGAGCTAGGGTCTGGCCATCCGTTACGCGGATCCCCTCCTCAAAGTGTGGTTCCACGCCTGCATCCTCGAGGATCTTGTTAAGTTGAGGCCCGGCACCGTGTACGATAACGGGGTAGAGGCCCATGCGGCTGAAGAAGGCAAGACTTGATGCGAGGGTTTGGAGGTGCGTCTCGAGTATCGCACCTCCGACCTTGATCACAGCGAAGGGCTGCTGGGTAGGAGACTGGGAGTTGGTGAAGTGAGAGAGGTACTGTGCTGCAGTACGCTGAGAGTCAATGTGGTGGAGGATTTGAGCGATTGTGGATCTTGTGGCGGTGACTTGGTGGTCTATGGAGGGGGAATATTGTCGTATTTGGTGAAATGGGGTGTATAAGGGCTGTTGTTGGCCGAGAAATTTGCGGACTGTGGTTTGCCCGAGGAAGGGTAAGGCAGAGCGGGGGAACGACATCGCGACGGTAGGTATAGTTACAACAAAAAGTTGAATACGAGCTGACTACACTGCAAAGAGAGGGGTGGCTGAGCCTTTTTATGTCCTCCAGAATCCCACCTCACCATATGTGTCACCCACGAGTCTACAATCATGCGCAAGGCATTGACTACTCTTCTCCGTAATTTATTCCTAGGTGCTACTAGTTCAATATACCAGAGGCAACGAGATACAACGAGTTCTCTGCTAAACGTGGTGTCTCAAATCTCGCACGAGCACGGGCCACACATGCTCTACGGAGTACCGCCACTGAGCAAATCAGAGGCAAGCCAAATTTAAGCCCGCAAAAACGACGTATCACAAAACGCACCCTACCTGCATGAGGAGTTTCCTGTCTCCAATAGCATCGATCACATACTAAGTCTGGGCCCGTTCCTCCTGCAAACACCTCGGGCACGTACACGTGAATGTGAACAACTCCTGGGTTTTCTTCCGACGTGCCTGCAGGTCAACGTATTCAGACAGGTCAAAGTAGGAGGTACAACACTCCTCGCCTGGCGCGATGTCCCGTAGTGCAGTCACCATCATTCGACCACGGTCATCGGCTTGGTGTGTCACCTACGTGGTGGGTTATGTTAGCGAGCGACAGGTCAACTTGGGGACACGCAGTTGGGCGGGAAGTGGGATTTGTGCTTACATTGGGCGCACAAAACTGATTTGCGAGCGTGATGCGCAGAAACACAGCTAGGCCGTATTGCATGCCGCGCTCGACGCCCAGAGATTGGTGTGGGATGATCTCCGTCGGGCCAGGGCAAAGTTCGAAAACGTTGGTTTCCTCGGCGCAGATCAGGTCGACGAGGGTATCGAGGTCGAGGGTTTCCGGGAGGGGTGAAGATTGTAGCAGATATTTTTCCGCTAGGGTGGTCCAGTGTTGAAGCTGGGATGTGGGCCAGGAGTCATGGTTGCTTCGGAGGAGCTGGACGCCTTCCCAGCCGCTAACGAAGCGATCTTGGAATGTGAGTTGCTGGTGGACGTTGGTTGGCGCTGTGCCTTGAAGCTCGAGGTACCGGGCTGCAAGAAGTCGGATGACGATCCAAAGCATGTAATAATCGTGATCGCCGAGTTCCTGGCGGAGAACAGGGCTGTACTTCTTCAGCCAGGCGCACTCGAAGTCGTGACGAGCCTGGTCTTCATCTTTACAAGACTCGTTATACCACCAGATCTCGAGAGAGCAGCCAGTCTCGCATGTAACACTATTTGCTGCATGCCGGGAAACGCGTCGACTGCAGCCCAGGTTGCTGCAAATGGAGTGGTCGCTATCCCCAACGGCCACGGTTGGCAACACGGCATAGGGAAGGTCGGCCATAAGGAGCTCTCCAGCACGAATAGGACCATTGGTGCTCAGTGTTCGGCCTTTGAGAGGGTTGTAGGTTTGGGTCAAGTGTGGATGGAGAAACAGGATGGCCTGAGTTAACGGGTTGGCAAACTGGATCTTGCGGACCTTTTCGCCGAGAATGCTGTAGAGGTCAGTATGGCTTACAACCAGTTGTGGTGCAATCAGAAGAGAGGGATCCAATCATGATGGCTGTCCGCATCATACAGCTAGTCCCCCAAGAGGATACATGAAAATACATAAGACATACCTGATATCTCCGAACGGAGTGCCAATCTTTGAAGAATCTTCTTCAGTCTTGGAATGCTGGTAAACTTGACCGATGGTAGGCATATTGAATCGAAGGATAGAAGAGCTAAGAGGTTCGATCGTTTCTGAGAGATCGTGATCCGATAATCTGATAATGAGTGTTCATTGCACCGGTCAGGAAGCACTATTTATAGCCTCATCTTACACCCAGAAAGGATTCTTTTTTCTGGCGTCATCAGCCATCAGAACCTACTTCACAGTATCAGCTTGGCAAGTAGAACATGCAATCTAAATTCTGCATCAATCATGCGAGCGAATTATTACCATCATTGGCGTGCATGCCCTCTGTCGTGATTAGTTATTCGCCACATTTTGCTTGACAGAGAAATAACTTTGATGATCATACGAAGGACTTCGGGGTTTGAGACTTGGAAAATTTCTGTTCTCGACCATTTGTCCGTATGCGCCAAATTCAGGCCTCCGTCTCTGACTGGCGTATCGTTTGGCAGTATTACGCTATTTCAACCTGGGTAAGGTCCATATGCATGTATTTCGGGATCTGTTGACTGTATCTTGGAATTGTGCTGTTTCCTACGACAGAACGTGCTGGGATGTAAACCTGTCACAATGTTTGTTTCAGTACGATGATGCTGGCTGATCTGCTTTCCATGTAACCTCATTGCATCAGCCCTCATTTAGGTGGATGGTAGCCTATGGATGGGACGAAGCATCGATTATAGCGTGTTAGCAACTAAACTGCCTCATTTCGATCACAATCATCGATTTCGGGGTTGCTCAGTCATCCAAGAAGTTCTGCTTTCTTTCCTCATTCTTCCTTTGCGTAGAACATTGGTATGGTTGAGATGTCCGATCGGGCTTGTAGAGCTTTCGAAAAGCTCGAGTCGAGGTCTTGAGAGCCATACCATATCGCAGATGGGTCCTTCCCATGGAGAAATAAAGATAGATGTCTCCCATTTTGCGGGCTACATAGCAGGTCCCAAAGTTTTCCATAGACGCCTACACGGGAGAGTGCCACGACAACGCTGGTGAGTCGTCGGGGTTGCATATTTCCAGACCTTTTGATGGGCCGAGGAATAATTTCCAGGTTCCCCGTAGCTGGCCTGCTATCGGGATTAACGTCTGACACTAGTGTATATTGAACCTGCATTGTCAGATGGTAAGCTCATGCATTGCCACTCGGGGTTTGAAATGGGGACCATCACTAGGCGGGCACAGCGACGTGCTCAGGGGGCCCCATGTTGCAATGCCTAGCAACTGCTCCGTTCTCTGCTGGTCGCCAATCATTAAAGCATTCTTTGGATGAGTGCATCTGAAGTGGTGCCTGGGCTTGCAAGGAGAGCTTTCACTGGCCGGTTCTAGCTGCAATGCTACATGACTCGGCGGGATCCACCAGCGGGCCGACCCCGGGGGCCCATCAATGGTGAGGGGTTGGCGTTCCAGATTCCGTTATAGGCACTAGTTGGTCTCTTGCATAATTAAGGCGGTGCAGAATAATATTTCGGGAATATCCTAGGAAAGTATAATAGCGGTAACTATTAATATAAGCAAACCGGTTATGGCGGCCAGATGGGATCGATCGATCGACATTAGTAAAATTGGGTACTAGTGATTTTCTCTCTTTCCGTTGTCATGTGGCCTTTGAGCAATTCGTGCTTTGGTGGCGTTTGACAATTGAATATTTTTCCATATCACAATTGCGAAGGCCCAATGAACCGCACATTGCACAAGCAGCCCGGATCTTTTTCTGATAGTTTATCCCCCGCTATGGCAACCACAGTCACCACAGTCACCGGTACTCTGATACCAGATCCACCGCTCAAACTCGAATTGGCAAGAATCGAGGACGTGCCGGAGGTGATACAGCTGTGGTACAATGCATTCAGCATTCCCTCCCTGCTTGCTATTTGGCCTGACACTCCAGGAGTACGGCAGTGGTGGGAGTCAGCCATTCGCTACGACATGCTAAACAAGCCACGCGAGAAGTACCTCAATGTAATTGACAGCCAGACCGGGCGTATTGCCGCTTATGCCAAATGGTCTCTTGAGACTTCTAAGGAGCGTGGCCCCCGGTTTCCCCCCTGGCACCCGGATATGGATGCCCGCCGTAACGAGGAATACTTTCAACGATTGGAGGAGATTCGGGATCGCCTAGTTGGAAGCTCCAGTAAAAACTTCTGTAAGTTCTGAAAGCAGGAATTTCTACGGAATGAGTATCTGATCTACCTGCAGACCTTGATATGCTCGCGACACATACCGACTACCGACGCATGGGAGCAGCGCGGTTACTTCTTGAATGGGGATGTCAGGTAGCAGATCAAGAGAATGCTTTAATCTACATTGACTCGAGTGAAGCCGGAAAGCCAATCTACGAGCGTTTCGGTTTCGTGGTTCAAAGTATGGCTTGCGGGCTCGCTTCCATGGTGAGAGAGCCAAGAACTAAGGAAGTGTGAGGTGATATGTTTTAGCGGTTCCTCTATAGTAGGAAGTGTTGTAATTGATTGCTATGTGCTCTATATAGGATTTGAATGACCTGATGAAAGGCGGGAGACAAACTGCAAGTATCCGCCAGCAGATAGGCTTGGTCTACTGAATTGAACGCAAGACCTGCTGTCGCGGGGTAAAATTCCTCCTGTTGAGCGTGTCTATGGTATACCACTCTTTGCCCGTCAATGATTTGCTACTACCTATAATTTGATAGTAAGAATTGTTAGATCTGTTAGTCAATGAAACCAAGACCTTATCCTTGATTACACTGGACTCGGGGTTTGAGCTGTAGACAAAGCGGCAACTCCGACGCAAGTCGTGCTCCTACATGCCGCCACCATGCATGTATGTACTAATTGTGTGAAACAAGGCAGATATGACGTCGTCGAGGGGCGCTGTCATTAAATCATGTAACCAAGCAGAGTTATCCCTGGCTGCATACGCCCCATCAGCAGAGGAGGAAGGGATCAGGAAGCGGGCATTCAGATCCATGAAAGAAGACCAAGTATTAAAGCACCGCTTTGTTGCAAGACCGAGTGTTTGAAGACACATATCATAGCATTCTTACTAGCCTACAATCTTGAGACTTCATCTAATCTCCTATCCTTTTCATAGATATATGTTCATCGCAATGCGTCCAATCCTTGAGACTCCGCAAAGGATTTTGTTCCTCACTACGCAACAGCCCCATACGATAAGGGCAGAATGGCCATTTTATCAAAACTACGATTTGCCCGGTCTCCTATTGGAGAAAGGAGCCCAGGTCACGCTCAAATGTTGGATGGATGAAGATATCGTGACAGTGCTCAGTCAGTTCGACGTGGTCACCTTCCTTTGGTGCAATGAGTACTATAAACATCCCAAAAAGTTTTTCGCCTTTCTTGACAAAGCTGAAAAGTTGGTGTGGAGCCTGCCAGGTGCCCCTCTGTCCAACATTCCTCGCATCATCAACAACACAAAACTTGTCCGGTGGAATGCGGACAAACGGTACTTGCTGGATATGGAGCAGGAAGGCTTCATTATTCCTAAGACCAAAATGGTGGATCCTCGGAAGTACAGTGTAACTGAATTGAATGCCCTGGTGCATGAATTCCTTCCGTCGGGGTCTGTGGTCCTGAAACCATCGATATCTGCATCCTCCACGCTAACCCGGCGGATCACAAACACATCAGCACTTTTACCGGATGACTTGACCTTCCTCGAGCTTTGCACCGTTGGGGGTCTCCGGAGTTCTTTGCTGATTCAGAAATTCGAACCTGCAATATCAACGGGAGAGTATTCATTCGTCTTTGTGGGTTCTCATCTCAGACATGCCATGATCAAATCTCCCCAGAAAGGAGACTTCCGAGTCCAGGACGAGTATGGTGGATCCGCTAGGCTAGCAAGCCTCCTCGATATCAAGCTACAGAGTCTCCAAGTGGTTCAGAATGTTTTCAACTCACTTCAACGCCGCTTCGGATACGAGTTCACGGAGGGCGTGAGCTCCGGGGAGATTGGCTACGTGCGGATTGACGGTCTTATCACGGAGGATCGGCCATTCGTTTTGATGGAGGTCGAAGCCATCGAGCCCCATCTGTGGCTCGAGACCGGAAAAGGAATCTCCGGGATGTTTTCCCTCCTCTTGGAAGCATCATAGAACCCCAGCTGCTTATATTTGACGCACGCTACGTTTGGACAGGTGGTTGCTTCCAATAATTGCAAGGTGGTGTGGATCGAAGGAAAGCGCAACGTTCTCACTGGGTTCAGAGTTGGTGTTAGAAATGTGTCAGAGTTACCAATCAGCATTAGTAAAATCCTAGCAGACCTTCATGATTACAGATTCTTGCTCACCTTCATGCCAAATACGACCACTAATACAGTCTATCACAGCTTCGATCAATTGCTTTATTGCTTTACCCGTCGACTAGTCGTAGCCTAAACCGGAAGCCCGCAATCCCCCCGGGCAGGGCTAGCACTAGAAAAGACAAAGCTCCGCAGCAGAATAGTTCAAGGCCTACAGCACATTTTGTATTTCCGGGGTGGAGTAAGAGGCGGGTAAATTTATTCTTTTACGACCATCTTGGCTTGTGCCTTGCACTCACAGGAAGAGTACTCCTGGGGAAAACATCTTCAATACTAAAGGACACTTGGGCGACATTGTAATTTAACCCTGTAATGTGGTCACAGCATTAGGCACAAATCTAACAAGAGGTAATCAAACATTCTTTTAGCTTGGGAAAAAAAACCGGCATGGCTCTGTTACGTTGCTGATGCAAGCACGCTGCGGTATCACTATGGTGGGATAACGCGAGGCTATGATTTTCCTCGCTTTTCCTCATCGGAGAAGAACGGCTCGAAGTCGCCAGGGAACTCGAAGTCGTCCTCGTTGTTTCCTTCACCCAACAGCTCCGGATTCTCAGTGGGAGATCGCCTGTTCATTGAGCTCGAATTGCCTTGTTGGGCCCCGCTACTATGGGCGTGCATGGCTTTGTCGGAAGCAGGAAGACCTCTTGATGCTGTTTGTGTCATCTGTTTTTCCGCCCGGAGGATCTAGAACACTTATATGCATTACCATTCGTATTGTACCAGGATAGGCTACCAACTCCACATTTGAAGCTGCATGTGAGTTGCGATGCCTTAGTGGAACGCCTGGGATGGGCTTAAAACCTGTTTAAGAGGACTAGATTAGCTGCATCTAGTCTGATTCGATGGCATGACAGTAGATGAGAGGGGGCACTCAGGTCCGCCGCCAGTGACATGGTGAGAGAGGATAGAGTGTGCGGAAGCCGTGGTCCGAAATATATGCTGGCAGTTACAAAGACAAGAGCCAAATTCTAACCTTACCCAGGTTTAGTCCATACTGTTCAAATCGAGAAGCACCAATTGATACCAAATGGCGGAAGAGTGGTATGTAGAGAAGGTACTTAGTACTGCCAGTAGTATCATCCAGGCTGGAGGAGATGTGGAGCTTCCTCCAGTACTAGTACTTGGGTAGTTGACCTCCACCAGCCAATCGCCGCCTTCCAAGAATCACGGGGGGGAGGGGGGCTTCATGACGCTATTCTGTGCTTGTTATAGCGAGATGGCATGTAAATGAGTAACCATTGGTACCCTGTAGGGCAAAGGGTAATAGGTATCCACCATTGATGGGTCTGTGGTAGAACATGACCACTTAGAGGTCCCTGGCACGATCGGGGTTTGCTTTGAAAGGTACGAAGCAAACTAGCACTCTGTAGCTTGTTTGGAATCCCGGGTGGAAAGGGTGAAAAGAGGGGGTAGCTCCACGGAGTACTAATTTTTTGGGGGTAATTGGTAACGAACATGGAGAATTGTAACTCCCCTACTATTAGTTGTTGTGCCAAAAATTTGTATACCAGTGGTGGGGGAACGAGCTACTAGCACTACTAGTAGTAGTTGACTGCCTACTTCTACCGCGCAGGGGCATGAGGTGTAGTCTGAGGTATGATACTCTACTGTATGTTTCTGCTGCTGTTTAATCGTAATTCAAACAAAAGTGGTGGCACATGACGATGATGGTGGTTCATGCTGTGAGTGTTGCGGATGTGGTCGATTTTCCTTGTACTACTCCTGTAGTAGTTGTGATATTTATTATACGTACAAGATTCTTCTTCACACGAGCATAGTTTAGTAACCGCGAAGTCAGTTAACACAGGTATCGTGCTACTAATGTAAATAGAGAGATGTTTATTCTTAGAAGGTACTTATTCCCAAGAGGAACTATGAGCCACCCTGCCTCACCTCTGGCCTCAAAAGCTTGCTGCCTAGTCGTCTGCTGACGGGAGAGCTGAACGGAACCAAGTAAATAGGGTGTGAAAAAGTTAGATATCATTGTTGTAGCCTAGAAACTTTGCATCCTTATATAATCACGGCAAGATGGCCGAGTTGGTCCAAGGCGTCAGGTTAAGGTCCACCTTAATACCCAGCTTCACAGCTTCCTGATCATCGTAAGATGGCGTGGGTTCGAATCCCACTCTTGTCATTTCCTTTTTTCCATCACCAACTTTTATCCTGCCACCATTTGGTAACTGTCACCAAATAAATCTTCAGTTTTTTTTTTTTTCTTTTTTTGTTTCCTCATTGCAGGAAGTCATTATTTTTTTCCCTTCTGATCCTTTCGCCCGCCTCTGCTCCTATCTCCACCTCTTAGTAAATAGATCTCACTTTCTCATAGATGAACGCTATACTACAAGCATGTCATTCAGCTTGCTCCGCGCCAGAAACAAATAATAACCTTTCCAATCATTCTCAGCAACGTACAACGAGCCCAACCCTAGCAAGCTATAACAACAGATGGACGTATACCAAACGAAGGCGCCAGCATTCCTCACCCAATATGACATGCAGCGTTCAAAGTACTAGTATATATTCGAACATCCGAACAATCTAGCACCCCAAGAACAATACTACTACTACTACTACTACTACTAATAAGCTTATAAAACCGGCCATCCCATTCCAACATCAACACAACATTGATAAACCACATCACCCTTCTCATCTAATTGAACCTCCTCTACCATCCTCGTGTAACCCTAACCACTCACCCTTGACAATTCTCCCTCACCTCCCTTCTCCTCGTCGCCCTCGGCAGCACCTCACCATATATGGGCTACAGGTGTTATAATAACGGGATAGTCTCATGTTGCCTCATGAAGGAAAGAGAGCTATTTATTTTTCACCCCATGCGTTAGTGGTGTAACGGTAACATTCAACCCTTCCATGATCTCCTGCGATAGCAAAGATTGAAAGGTTGGGCCCTGGGTTCGACTCCCAGCTAACGCATTTTGAAGCATATCTTTTTGCATTCTGCTCAAGATGTCTATTTATATTCTAATCTTATTCTTTTGTGGTGAGACTCCGTGTTTGTTATCTCGCTAATAATACATAACTCAATTCTGATGGCGTGTGGTGAAACTCCGTGTTCTTGTCTCGCTAATGATACATGACTTAACTTTGACGGCGAGTGGCTCGCCCCGATCAAGTATGGTCGCTGCTCTCCTACAATACCATTTCATCATCTTCCGCAAGGTCAAGAGCCTCCAAGTCATCCTCCTTCTCTAAAAACTTGTCCATTTCAACGGCTTCGTTTCGTAATGTTCCTGTCAGAACAGCAAAATTGGGATACAGGCTGCTGAGTCCGTTGCGACCCCTAGGCCCCCAAATCTCCTTTTCGAAATCTATGAACAGTGCATCCGTCTCAGGCGGAAGCCTTACCCCAAGCTTTTTGGCCGTGACTTGAACAGTCCGTAATGTGCCCCGTGCAAGAGGCCAGCGTCGAGAGGCTACTTTTGCCGCCACACAAAGATTGATAAACGCTCCTTGGTTCGCTGGCACGTCAAGTTGTCCCAAGAGAGTGAACATGGCCACGGCAATCCAATGAATTTGGCTTGCTGGAAATATATCTATGCCCCAGGTAGACCGATGTATCTCCATCAACCCGGCGATTTGACGAGCAGCTGAAAGAGACATCTCTTCTGGCCCCAAACGCCGTTCTTGTGTGCCATGATCTGCTGTTTTGGCGAGCTCCGTAATTGTGATACAGGTATTGTGATAATACATACTGCAATAAAGCGTTAAGTGGAATCAATAATACTGTCAAACATGGATTTCACATACTGTAGACATAATACGTGGGGGAGGATCACACGCCCAGGTTCGATCCTGAGGCATGGTTTGAGGGTCTTTTCCCACACTCCCAGACGTTTACGGACTTTGTTTTCCATATCCTGAACCTCACCAGGCGTCGGAATCGTAAAGCTGTCGAAGAGCAACGTGCACCAATCGTCAACGATTGTTGTTAGCTCAGATAAGCCATTGAAATAGCACATGTAGTGCCCCTGGAGACTATCACCGTCGTGCGGATAAGGGTGCCATAGAGGACCGTCATTGTCATGAAAACTAGGCGGACATGGACGGCTAGGCTTTTCGATCAACGGCGGCTTTTGGTAAGCGAAGGCGGTTGCGCTGGGAGAAGTTAGTTTTACCCCCCACACAATCACTGGTCTGACATACATTGTCATGTTGTACAAACCCCAAAGAGTAAGCTCGGTAACCCGTCGTATATCAGATGCCTCGTTAGAAGAACCAGAGGATACGGTGCGAAGCGTGCGTTGAAGCTCCTTCGCAACAAAAGCAAGCTGGCCCTGGTATATCCATCCCCGTCTGTCTTTGCCCATAAAGCACGCACTAACTCTAATAATCAGCATTTCGCGAAGTCGTATAGAAGACTAAAGACATATTAAGTCGTACCAAGTTGATAATACTGCCAGCCCTTGTACTGTGGCTAGGGTAGAATGCCCATCTTCTTGTTCGAAACATCTCTTCGCCTCGTTGTAAAAGTGTAATCCTCGCGTAGACGGATCGCTGGGGACTTCGTACGCCTCTGCAAAGTCTGAGTATGCCTGAATGAATGATTACGTCAATAAAATGCCCATAAAAAAGAAGTAGTCTGAGAGAAGCGGTCGGCAGCTTACACAGGCATCAGCCAGAATGGCATTAACCAGGAAAGGCGAGCAAAACTGGGAACTGAGCTTGGCTGTTTTCATGTCGCGTATAAATATGTCTTGGTCGAGGCAGGGAAAGCAAGGATAGCGCCACGTAAGATATAAGGAGACAAGGTGCGAGACAAAGTGATCATCATCGGTTATTCTAGTCCAGGGTATTGCGGGTACACGAAAGACAGGTTGATCGGCGAGTCGCTTGATGTTGAGCACTCTCCGAGGTATTTTGACGATGAATTCATCTGACAACCGGATTTCATCTCTTGTAGAATCGAGGGCACTGATATCCTTTAGCTTGTCCTCGACAAAGAGCTGAAGTTCTTCCAACGAGGGATTGCTGCGAATCAACTGCAATAGGGAATGCACCCGAGTGACGCCACCATTTCGTAATATCTCCAGTACCTGCACGAACAGATCGCGGTCGCCTTCTAAGCTGTCAATCTTCCGCTTAAGGTTAATTTTGCGGCGGGAGTCCGTGGCCTCGTCGATATTGCATTCGAGATCGTGCTTGACACAGGAGTCGCATGGTGCTGTTCCGCTGCACTGGAAGAGATGCAGGGTTAACTTCGTAAACGGTCAAAGTACAGGCAAAGCATGAGAAAATGTGAGAACAAACCCTCGCCTTCTTGAGGCGGCAATTTGAGCAAGCTGTAGAAACCTTTCTCACCGAAGCTCGTGGCACGGGGTCCTTAATTGGGGCTGCAGGGGCCAAAATCCGTTGTTTTCTCTCCGAGGTCATAGATTAGATGTTTTACTGCGCTTATTTACCGGGCGATCATGGAAGTCCTAGAAGCTCCCAACTGTCGAAGAAAAATAGTGAACCATACTGGATAGAGTAAGGTGGGCAGTAATTAAAACTTATAAAAGGACGACAAGAGGGAGTGTGCCTGCCTTGATACTTCAATCCTCGGACGGTGAAGTGGTCACACTGGCGGGGACGCTAGTAAATGGAAATGACTTCCAGCCAATCTTTCGCAGGCCCACAACAGTGCGGGAGGAACTGCCAGACCAATGATCGTCCACTTTCGTCTGTCTGTGACATCTTGTTGGTTTAACCCGGTTCCTCACCATTTCCTTTCTCGGGCAGTCCCGTAAAATGCACATCCGCACTGAAAAAGCCGTCCGCCTATCCGCCTATACATGCTGCGGGCGTTGCCTCTTGCGTCACCGCGAGCTATCCAATCTGGGACAGCGGCACTTTCTGGGTTCACTACACTTCTGTCCGCGACAACTCAACGGCGAGGGCTCCGTTGAGCCATGGGTGAGTCCTCTCTCTCACCACTAGAACGTTTCATATGACAAAGTCATCTAAGAAGTCTACTTGGACAGATCCGTGTCTGCAACTTCAATGATGAAATTTAAGAACCCGCTAAGTTTGCAGTGATCTGCACCAATATCGAGGGTGGTAGTTCACAGCAGAGACCTTCGACGCCTCCATAGAGAAGAACAAGTAGTGATTTGGTCTTGGTCTTGTTGGGAACTACGTACTACATGTTCTCGAGTCAGGATGTGATGAGTTGTATACACTTCGAAAATTAGCAGATTCTGGGGGCAAGTACTATATAACCTCGGGTAATTTGCTGGTGCTACCATGGCAGGGGCTAAAAGCTTAGCCGAACTCTCCCGATCCCAACCATACTATGAAGCCTACTTATCCGACCAACATCCAACACTACCTCGGAAAAAAGAACCAAGAACTCACAGTCACAAACCTATGCTCAAAATACTATGAACAAACAACCCTAAGCATCTGCAATATCGAGATCCTCATACCCAACAACCGCTCAGGGGCTCTGACTGCGCAAATAGTATAATTCCCCAAGATGCGATTACGAAACCCGGCTTCGCAGTACTCGAAGTAATACTAAGTCATTAACAACCCGTGATATTTTCGAACTATTATTCGGAGAAACTCACCAGCCAGCGTCGTCGATAAGCCCCACATCCTGTGCCGAAGCCTCAGGGTGCCGACTGCAAAAGTCTGATCGGATATCTTCCCAGTTTGCCAGGAAGTTGTCCCTCCATCCTAGTAGGGTCTTCCCGTAATGAGGGCCGGAACTGAGCACCGAAGTCACTTCCAATGATCCTTTGCTGCCGCGATGTAGAGAATCGAAGAGAATATTTGGGGTGGGGAGGTATCCGCCTGGGAAGACGTAGCGATCGATGTATTCGCCCATTCGGGGGTTGGTTTCGTGGAACTGCCACATATCAGATAATCCATTCTGTGTAACGAATTCAAGATGGGGGGGATAGCATACTGGTTGTATCTTCGTTATCCCATCAATCACCAACACACCATCCTCAGGCGGCAACAATTGCGAGATTACTTCAAAATACTGATCCATATACTCAGCGCCGACATGCTCGAACATCCCTTTCGAGATAACACGATCATATTATCCACTCTCAGGTCGGGGTGCGTTGCGATAATCGCACAGTAAAACGCGAATTCGGTCCTGCAGGCCTGCTTCGCGGATCCGTTCATCGGCAAGACTCTTCTGTTCCTCAGAAAGAGTTATTCCCGTCGCTTTGCAGCCAGTGAGTCGTGCTGCTTCGATGATCAGATCTCCCCAGCCGCAGCCAATGTCCAGTAAGTGGTGAGTTGATTGAAGCCGCGCCTTTTTGATCATGTAGTGGACTTTTCTTCGCTGGGCGGTTTGCAGGGTTTCTGCTGCATTGCTAGTAAAATGTGCGCAGGAGTAGTTCAAGTCAGGAGATAGAAAGTTCGTAAATAGTCCGTTCGAGGTATCGTAGTGGGAAGCGATGTTGCTGCGCGAATTTTCAATGTTGTTTTTCGGTAGCCACCATTGGGCTAGGCGGACGATGAGGTGGAACGGTGAGCCTCCCGAGTCGAGCGTGGCGCGGTTTTGAATGTACAGCTGGTTGGCTGATGCTTTAGTTTGACATGCTCTGCAGTGTTGTTTCTGTGAGTAAGAGACGCTTACGTCGAAGATCTTGGACAAGTTATCACATTCTATCTCTTGGAACATGTAGGATTCTGCAAATCCCTTCGAGGTATTAGTTGCTTATAGCCATTTTCGTTGAAAGGTCATAGAATGCTTACCAGATCGAAATCTAGAAATGCCCTCTTCCAAAAGTTCACATCTTTAACGCAGACAATTGCTTTCTCAGAATCGGCGATCATCGGGTCATCATACAGAACTTCCTCCTCTTCACCAACATGGTCGGTCAATTTCACTGGGGCTGAAATTCGCCGCAAGGTGTCTTGTACCATGCGAAGAGCATAAGATTGGAATGACTGGGTGACAGCGGTTAGCACCATGTTCACAGAGTAGCAGGATTTCTAATAATGTGAAGTTTACCGTTCATCTAGCAGGGGTGAGCACTACTCTTTAATACAGCAGGAGAGTCCCTAACATATGGGCAACATAATTATGACACGATTTCTGCATTAGTTTCCTGCTCTAGTCAAACCAGTTCTTCGTAATTCTGCAAGCCAAGGATCATTTATAGTCAGAGTCGGTGATTGAATAATAGAAGCCAATGGCATGTACTGCGCCTAAAATCTCCGTGGATGATAGCGGCTAGTGCTGCAGAAGCATAAGCAGCTCGACGTAAACGAGGGCAGGGACTGGTCCGATTGCCAACACGGGCGAGTTACATTGCCGGCTGGACAATTGGGCTTAGCGTTTTCGCCCCTATCGGGTCCAAATGAGACGAGGAGATTCGCAGCGTTTCTGTGTTCGCTCATGAGGAGAATGCATAGCAGCCAATAGGGACAGTTTGGAGTACCTGAGCGCCCTTAAGTGTAGCCATTCTATACTTTTTAAATCTCGAGTGGCGTGGTGTCGCGATGATCGCAAATCCAGTTCCACAAAAGCGAGCCTCACACGACTTAAAAAGCTTTGGGTATAATGACCTGTTAGAATCCTCTAGGTCGAACTGCAGATGTCTCCTGTTGTATTTCGATTAGCATAGTTGCAGTGATATATAACTACGTTGATTTCAGTTGGTGTAGCCCATCCAAGAGTTAGGGTTCTCCCAGATTAAGGCCCCCGGGACACATTCGCCATAAGAGTTGTCTTTGAAGAGCTGGACAGCGTAGTAATTACATTCTGATGAGGAATTGTAGATTAGAGTCCTACTTGAGGTACAAATGCATATCGTTTTGGCAGTCTACTCGATTTGTCGTGGAGTGAGTCTGCAGGTAAGCTGGCCTAAAAGGGTTTAATATCTCTGCAGGAAAAGGCAGGCGAGCAATTACCAATGGGATACGTACCAGGGATGCATGCTGGTAATATATGCGGGAGTTGGAGTGTCCATTGGCTGAAACGCATCAAGCATGCAGGATGGAGGATCTTATCATTCCACACTATTTCGGTGGGGAGGGGAAACGCTCGGACGCGTCACCGCTTATTTACCTGCATTAAGGCTACCCCCAACTTCCAGACGCTTCGTTTTCATAATCTGCAACGTCTCCAGCCACAAATCATCATGTCGGTCTTTAACGATTATTCCTTCCACCACTCGCGGCCCATCGAGGCTAGTGAGCTGCCGGAAGGCTATTTCCATATCATCCCTAGTCGCGTATCATCTTCGCCTGTTGACAGCGGCGTCATCGACCAGATAAGAGATGAATGGAGCCGAGCTTTAGGCAAGGAGTCGACTGTTCCCATTCTGGACAACAAAACCCTCTCTAGTTTCTTATATGTATACCCGGAATGTCCGCCAATCGAACGGGGTGCGATGTTCAAATTCGCTGCCATTGTCGCGCTGTGGAGCGGTAAGCACACTTCACGTGCCCTGGTATCTGAGAAGTGAGTGAGTTAACGTGAAGGGGAGAATACAGAAGAAATAGACAGATTTGACGCTGCAGAGGTGTGTTGTGTCTATCTCTAATCACTAGTCTATGACAATTCAGATCTATACCATTGTGTTTATTGACCTACGTCAGCACAAAGTAATTGTTCATGACCTTGCCAGCCAGATTCTGGCTAGATCCTACGGAATAACCTCGTTTGAAAGCGGGTACGAAATCAACAATCCGTATTATGACGCACTTACAGAAATACTTTGGCAGCCTGGGCGTCATGAACATGAGCAGAAAATTCTTCTGAAAAATTTCTCGGCAATGCTGGAAACTCCGACGAGGCCCTCTCTAGACAATATGACATTTGGTGCGTACAAAGAGCAGAGGAGTCAAAATAATGCTGGAAAGTAAGTGCTCGATACTACGCGGGAAAGTAGCATAGCGCTGACATGGTAAAGGTTCGCTAGTTTGGTCATTCCTATCTTTCACGGTTTACATATCAGTGAGAGTGAACAGGCCTCAGTGGCGTCACTCATTAAGCTTGGTAGCTTAATTACCGGGCTAGCAAGCGATTTTGAGAGTTTTCATATAGACTTTGACAAGCATGCTACAAGTGACAGGCTTGAGCTTATATCCAATGCCATGGCTGTCCTGATGGCCAACTATGGTTACACGGAAGAAGAAGCGAGCGACATCCTGAAGAGTCTGATACTATTTCTTGAGCGACAGTTTCTTATTGATTACGATGATTGGAAAGCCTCTCCGGCCTCAAAGTCAACTGACCTGCGAGTCTACATGGCCCTCTGGGTCACAAGTGTTGGAGGGGCGTGTTATGCACAGGCCATCTCACCAAGATATCACGGACTCAAGCTAAAAACAACCGCAGAGGACAGAGCACAGCTTACAGGTCGCAATAAGATACGCTACAAACTCCACGGCTATCCTCTACCAGCTTCAAGCCAGAAACCTTCCGATACACCCAGAAAGGATGTTACGGTACTCACAGCAGGAGATCAACGGGACATTCTAGCACCGTTTAAGAAGGCACCAGCAGAGCAGGTAAAAGCTTTTCCCGGCCTACCTGTGACACACTACTGAAAGCAGTAGCTATGCATGGCTCCGTACGAATACACAAGATCAACGCCCGGAAAGAAGATGATGTCAAAGTTCATTGACTGTCTGCGGACTTGGCTCAATTTGCCAGATCCCTCAGCCACTGTCATCGAACACGTCATAGATATGATCTTCCACTTCACTCTTATGTTCGTATCCCCCTCGATAACAGTCCATTGCATAAGCTCAGACCAACTAGGATCGACGACATCGAGGACGACTCAATGCTTCGTCGCGGAAAACCAGCTGCACATCTCGTATTTGGCAAGTCCCAGACTATCAACAGCGCAACCTATCTATATGCGAAGGCGAGTCGTGATCTGGACCAGCTGCAACAGGAAGCGTGCAAAGCAGCCTTTCTCGGTCCGTAGCCACCAGAACCCAACCCTCTTCTAACCCGTTTCTAACGTCTACAGACGAACTGGAGACGCTGGCCCTCGGACAAGCTCTTGATCTTCACTGGAAGTTTCTGAAGAAATGCCCAACAACCAGCGAATACCTTAATATGGTCGATAACAAAACCGGTGGGCTCTTCAGAATGGCATTACGCGTTATGGAGATTGAGTCGAGGACGGAGCCGTGTCCTGATCTTATGCACCTCATAACACTGATGGGGAGATACTACCAAATTCGAGATGACTACATGAACTTGACGTCAGATGAGGTATGTGCCTAGGAACGGATATTGATTAAAGAGGATATTGACATGGAATAGTATACCGAAACCAAAGGCTACTGCGAAGACCTCTCGGAAGGCAAACTCTCCTTCCCGCTTATTCATGCCTTGCAAAACAGCCCTGCAGCGGACATGATGCGAGGGTTATTGTTTCACCGAGAGAATGGCCAGGAGCTGTCATCAGAAATGAAGAGCTATATTGTCGCTGAGATGAGAAAGGCTGGTAGTCTTGCATATGCGCGAAATACTGCCATGCAGCTGTTTGATGCAATGATGGAAACGCTGGAGCGGGTTGAGGCTAAACTCGGTCCGAATGAAAGGTTGAAGGCTTTATTGCGTTTGTTGAAGCTGTGATTGATGGTGAAGATATTTTGGGTGTTGTAGAAGATAATCTAGCTCTATATGAGCATTCATACCTCTATCTCCTGCATGCATGATATGTAACAGATCATTCTCTCATTAAGCTAAGGCATGTTATGCCAACTTGCAAGTGAATAGATATCTATCTTTACAGTATTGGCCATCACAGACGCCCACTTAAATTCTCGCCCGTTGAAGGCAGCTTTCCAAGACGGAACGCTAGATACGACTGTCCTATAATATACCGGTCCTGATTCCACGCCTTATATTCCGACCAATCGCGCCCGACGCCCAGAGTCATATATAACGGTAAAACATGTTCCTCTGTAGGGTGAGCGTCCAACCAATCCTCACGCTTTTGAAATGCTAGAAATTGCGCGTTTCTCTCTCTGGGAGTCGAGGCAGACAAGGCTTTCAGAGCCGCTTGTTCTATTGATCTAGCCACTGTTGTGTCGGTCGTTCCTTCGCGGGTCGCTCGAAGGTTGTGAACGATCATGCCTGATCCAATGAGGAGAATGCGACCAGGTCTAGTATATGAATTAGCTTTGTGTCTATGTACTGGCTTTCCAGTCGTTGTCGATGAGCGAACGACTGTGGAAAACATACAATGACGAAAGTGCTTCGCCCAGCCGGACGTGTGCATCCAGATCGTTCCCTGCGTAGGTGGAAATCTGCAGAATAGGAATATCCAGTTCGTCCTCTCCTTCAGGGAACATGAGTTTGAAGGGCACCCATCTGGATATAGTTAGGGTACTTGTCTAAGTAAATTGAGGGAATGCCTTGGCCTCTCAAAAGCGCAGTGAAGGAACTCACATTCCGTGGTCAAGATCGCGTTCCACTCCCGCCGCTTTAATCCCTTGATCGAGGAGATGCTGCAATACCTTCTCTCCTAGGGCTCGAGACGATTTATGTTCGTATTGGTACTCGAAGACGTGTGGGAATGTCGTGTGCCAGGAAGGACCCAAGTCATGCCACACCTTGGTGGGCTCTTTAAGGTTCACTGCAGCACAATGGTTTTAGAGCTTTCCAGTGCATGAATTCTGCGTTCTGACCCAATTACCTTCAATAGCATCACTTTCACCTTGGAAGTGACCGCAAGTGACGACGATTGCTTCCGGTTTGAGAGCCTTGATTTCCTTGCCGATCTCACGAAGATCGTGTTGAACGGGCCCATAGCCGGGTTTGAAGAGGATGCTAACTCCGCCTGGTGGTAGTCAGAAAACTGCTTTTATGATTTAGCAACTATAGGCTCTCGAACCGTGGCCGATAAAGTATGTGGGGAGTTTCTCATCTGACATGGTGGACGTTGCTGTTGCTTTGGCGTCCCCGACGGTGCGCATATCCACTCAGAAAAGCCAAGCAA